CTTAAACCTGATCGAACATCTGTGGGATGCCCTGGACAGACGGGTGCCACGCCGTAACCCTCAGCCCCAGACACTTCAGCAACTCGCACAGGCACTACAGGCAGAGTGGGCTGCGATTGGACAACACGAGATTCTGAGACTTATTCGTTCGATGCCGAGGCGATGCCTTGCAGTTCTGGATGCCCACGGTGGTCACACGAGGTATTGACTTCAGCGCCACCACATGTCTCCATGTGACACTTAAACTGACTTTCCTCGAGTTGGTGCCAAAGACGGATAAGCCTGCATTCCCAGTGTGCAATTTCGCTATATTTCATTAACTCATAAAGACTACAAGATTTTTCAAAATAAACATAAAAGTACAGTTGAAATTCCTATATGCGTTTCTTTTTTGGGAGAGTATATAATCTGATTAATATCCATTTTGATATGGCCACCTTTAGGAATTGTCACACGTCATGCTCTTGATATATTCCTTGTGATACTCATGTTAGTGAATAAAAAACATTGAAAACATACTGGAAAGATGTCTGTAATAAGACGAGAGTAGATAATGAGAATAGTCTAAGAGATAAAAGTTCAGGATGTCAGTTAATTTAAATACTTGAGATCTGTTGAAGGAACTAAAGAATTTCTTGAATTCTAAAACTAAACAATTATTTGATCTAACGACTGGCTTAAATATGTTGAAAATGCGGTAATCAGTCTACTAATCTGAGAGAGAAAATACCTAGAAACTTGAATGAAAACAATGCCTGAAAATATCCAGCACTATCCTTCGATGACGACAGAATTCAAATGAAATAAACGTCACCTAGCACATGTTCAGAACGATAATAATGACGTCATACTGTGAAATAATTTCACTTGCAAAAGACTGATTTACAGTTGCAACGTCATGGTTTTTGAGAAGTTCTTTGATCTTATCTTGTTTACATCATGATTATTGCCTCGAAAATGCACAAATATGACTGAAACGTTTTTTGTGTGGATGGTTACATGTAGTATGTGTAGTGAGTAGTAAGTCCAGTGACGTCACTCATTCATAACGTTGGGTTATGTACCACTGCGCCGATACAATGAGAAAGAACGAAACATGCATCGATTTGATCCCAAAAGTGGTAAGATTTTAGGGTGTGTAAGAAACAGATTACTGTACTCGTTGTAAGACAAATGGAGTCTGACAAACACTCGTTTAGTTTCTCTTGAGGCCGGGGACAGAATTGATTTTCAGCAACCCATGCTTGTCATAAGAGGCGACTAACGGGATCGGTTGACACATGTCATCGTATCCAAATTGCGAAGATAGATGCTGATGATGTTGATCACATGATTGTCTGGTCATAGTCTGGAATAGCTGGAATACTGCAAAGGGCGACGTTAAAGAAAGAGAATTTGGTGTGATCTCAATCGTTACGTTTACATTTTGATGTGCAGTGCAAACGAGTAAATACGGGTACATATGAGAGTGATTGAGTGAGTGAGTGAGTGAATATCTTTTTACGTCGCTTTTCGCCATATGCCAGCAATATCATGGCGGGGGATACCAGAAATGGTCTTCACACATTGTACCCATTGAGGGAATCGAACCCGGGTCTTCGGCGTGACGAGCGGACGCTTTAACCACTTGGCTACCACAGAGCAGACAGACCCAGCACGCATGACAACATAATGTTCAATGTTCGACTGCCCAATGATAACGACACTAGTGTTTCAACTAGCAAGGACATGATTCACAGAGTAGACAGACCCAGCAGTGCCAAGTAAACTCATGACAATATAGTATTCAATATTCAACTGCCCAATAGCAACGACACGGCGTATTCACTAATGTTTCAACAAGCAAGGACATGGTTCATGTGACAGGGAAATAGTGTCAAGTGAAACTACACTAACATCAACAGCTCAGATCCTTCAGTGTTAACCAGCTGCTGTCTATGTTTCTGTTTTACACTGTGACCGGATTATTTCATGTGTGTGGTATGTATCTGTCTTCAATTCACATTTGATATAGCCATCCTTGTGACTTTTTTCTTAAGTAATACGGGATATTCTGTCAGTAAGCATACGTAATGATGACTGGTAATGTTTTTTTGCGTGCAGGTCAGTATGAACTTATCACGCCAGTTTTTAAAATGATTTTTTTTAAAAGAAAACTATACAGTTATATAGCGCCTACTATCAATCTGTGTAGCTGCTCACTGGACGCTGAATCACAATCTGATTATTATCACCCTGGATAACCCAAGCTGCCTGTAAGGCGCTAGAAGGTTAACAGTCACATGACTTATCTCACAGGGTAACCAGTTTCTGCTGTACCAGTTACGGCAATTCTGAACAAACACACTTACCTCAGCTGAGACCTCATGTTAGTATATGATATGTTAGTATGTTCAGCGTAGTGTAGACCACATGTTAATATATGATATGTTAATATGTTCAGCGTAGTGTAGACCACATGTTAGTATAAGATGTTAGTATGTTCAGCGTAGTGTAGACCACATGTTAGTATATGATATGTTAGTATGTTCAGCGTAGTGTAGATCACATGTTAGTATATGATATGTTAGCATGTTCAGCATAGTGTAGATCACATGTTAGTATATGATATGTTAGTACGTTCAGCGTAGTGTAGATCACATGTTAGTATATGATATGTTAGTATGTTCAGCGTAGTGTAGATAACATGTTAGTATATGCTATGTTAGTATGTTCAGCGTAGTGTAGACCACATGTTAGTATATGATATGTTAGTATGTTCAGCGTAGTGTAGAGCATATGTTAGTAATGTGTGTATGCTATGTATGTATATAGCAGACATGTATATGAAGCACTGTGTACGGGATATATATTATATAGTGTAAGCAATCATAATAAACCAAAATAATGATTAAATATATTAAGAATACAATCGATCGGGTCCATCGATATCACTTCATGGACTCCTCTAAAAAGAATGTAATTTACATTTTCCGAAAGGATTACATTAAAAATGCAAAATTGTGTCAGTTTGACAACTCAGCCCACAGAAAATACTATAACGCATGTTCATAAAAGTTCTTTCCTCCTTACATGATCTTGTCTCTTTGTTTGGGGGCTTATATGTGTGTGATATGTATCTGTCAACTAGGATTATATTGAGCTGACTTGAATAATGTGCTTGAATAATTCTGTCAACTGTTAACCCTGTTTTAAAATACTTGTTTTGCGTGCAGTTCTTGCCTCCCTGACAACTGGATATAGACACACTGTTACACGTGTTGGCGACGATGTTAACATAACCATGAACCCAGCGAATGTCAGCTTCACATATTTCGTATGGGTGAATTCTTCGGTAGCAGAGAGACAGTTACTAGTCCGGTCTAGGTCACACCGTGTACAGGTACTCCACAACAGTCACACCGGCTACACGACCAGGATTAGATACATCGGGGAGGACTCACCATCACAGACCGGACAGCTGAGGTTTACCATCTACAATGTTACTGTACAGGACGCTGGTACTTACTACTGTCAAGGAACCATAGAACAGAATGTTACTGGATGTAGACAGGTCCTCGTTGTAGCACGTGAGTAGTATATGGGATTAACAGAATATTATTTGTAGAATAAAGTTGGACTGTCTTAATGTATCGCCAGCATAAGTAAATAGCTGTTCAATCTTCTATTGCAGTAGAAGAACTTTAGGTGAGGTGAAATTGGGGGGTAGATTTTTGTATATATGGCGACATGAATCCGGGTATGTGTGTGTATGAGTGCGTGCATGTGTGTCGACCCTCCTCTCTATGGAAAGTACATTTAACTCGTTTCAGTAGAGGCAGCCAGTAGTTGTGTGGTAACTATCATATTTAATCAACTAAACGGTTAGGAGTATAAGGATCCAGCAAACATGTATTCCCTGCTGTAACTATGGAACACTGACTGTGGTACACTGAGTTAGTGAGTGAGTGAGTGAGTGAGTTAGATTTTAGCAATACTCCAGCAATATCATGACAGATAACATCAGAAATTGGGTTCACTCATTGTACCCATGTAGGGAATCGAACCTGGGTCTTCGGCGTGACGACTGAACTCTTTAACTATTTAACATTTGATAGATAATAATGATAAACAGTATATAAATACAAGTATGAAAGCATTTAGTAACATCTTGTTCAATGGCACTCGTGTTACGATCTGAGCACATTTGTTATATTGGTTAACAGAGAAGCCAACCACACCTACCATCACCGGACCTGCCCCACCTGTATCAGGTGAGAGTTTCACCCTGACATGCTCCTCCTCGTCCCTGAGTCTGCCCCTGGACCATCCCCAACTAACCATGACCTATATCTGGAGGAGGGACAGGACCCGGGTAGAATCTGGTGATGTGTCTCCTACAGGTGGAGATAACCTGACAATAACCCACATCAGCAGAGAGAACCAGGGAGACATGTACAGCTGCCAGGCCGTGGAGGAGGGGCTGAAGTCTGACTGGAGTCACGGACATGTCCTGGATGTTCTCTGTGAGTAAGAACTTACTTTGTTAACGGTATAAGAACCTCGTATATCTTATCTTTGTAACTGTGCTTCTGAGTGTTCGTTTTGTCACAACCTTCTTTGCTAAAGGAATGTGCTCTGTGTAAACAGAACAGAAATGATTATTGTGAAAGTTCGAATAGGAAATATAGGCAGGTCTGATTTAATGATCCATTCAAAGCTTTAGAGTTTCAGAGGCTATCGAAACTGCTGATAGTTTCCTGTCACTGTAAGCTCATCTGGATATGTTGTGAAGAGTTGTACATAGGAACAGAGTGGGTGAGTGAGTTACAACGGTGTTCCAGTTGTAGTCTGTACTTATTATGTGAGGAAAGCATAAATTGATATGGGTCTGAGACGTTTACCATTTTGTGAATCCCAAGAACACAGGCCAAGCCAAACAACATGTCTTCATTCACCGAAGCAAACTGCACTTACATCTTAGAATAGCTTCTCAACTGACCATCTCACATGCATTCCAGATGGACCTGACCAGATACAGTTTGACGGCACAAGTGACAAGCTGGAGGGAGAAGAAGGGAAACCTGTAACAGTGAGATGTTCTGCTGACTGTAACCCTGCCTGTACTGTAACCTTGTGGGACATCTCCAGACAGACGGTGATTACAGGACAGGGGGAGGCTGTGTTGTCTATACCAGCTGTAGATGTATCTGTGTCTGGACTGTACACGTGTCACGTCAACAACACACATGGGAGTGCATCACGGAACCTGACGCTGGAGGTCTTCTGTAAGTCAACACTTCAGCAATAGAATCTCTTATATACATCTTACCTATTTTGGGGGATGACGCCTGTTGGGACGGCCCCCTTTTCGTACACCTGATCCTGCTGGAACATCTGCTGGAACACCTGCCAGAACACCCAGAGATTTAAAATAATCAAAGACCCTTTAGATGGCACTCAAAGATTAAAAGTAATTAACCATTTGAAACCGTAATATTGATGAAGAATTTAATTTTCACTATGATCTGATGGCATTATCACTCCAATGAGTCTTAACTTTCAGATTCTCCAAAAATCCCAAATGTTTCCGTTAATTCGAAAAAATCAATTAGAAACCCAGCCCTACAGAATACAGTGCTCCTGAACCTCTATTTATATGAGGAATATAATTTGACCCTTTTCGTTAGATATTTCCGTTTCTTCACCCTGCACAAATGAGAACACTGATATGTTACCGACATTGCATGTCCTCCTGTGGAGCTGATGTTGACAATGACGTTGTTGTTGGGGATGTACAGCGTACCTCATCAATCACTTACAAAGCGTAGCACGGAAAGGTTATTTCAGATGAACATGGCAAGTGTCATCCCATTTAATATGTTTTGAATTGGGTTAAAACCTCCCGAAGAGGCTTGATGTTACCTGATTATACTCGTATGCATACTGAACTGAATATTGTCCATATTAAATGTTTCAGCACGTGAAGTTACTGAATCTGGTGTCGTTTCCATCGTCCCCGTGGCTGCTGTCTGTTCCGTCCTGATCGTGGTCATCGCCGTTGTCGTCATCGTTGTTGTTTGTAGGAAACAGAGACGTGGAGGTAATACGGTGTGATGTGAGAGTGAATGACGATGACCCGAGAGTCACGTAAAGTTTTCTCTCTCAGAAGCACTCCTTTCGCACTTTCCTTCAGCAATTACAAATACTGATGTCACTTAATAGCGTGTTGCGGTTCATATATTAACTACATGCTCATGTTTACATCACGCAATCGATGTGTGTGTTCAGTGTATCGTCACCCGGAAATAGTTGGCTCCATAGAATAGCAAGGCCAATGCTTTCAAATGAACAGTCACACGATGATAGTGCATAAGAAAGATAGACACGTTCTTTTATGTGAGTGAGTATGGTTTTACGCCGCTTTTAGCAATATTTCCGCAATATCACGGCGGGGGACACCAGAAATTGGCTTCACACATTGTACCCAAGTGCAGCATCGAACCCGGGTCTTCGGCGTGACGAGCGGATTCTTTAACCACTAGTCTACCCCATCGTCCCTTCCTATATATATACACATGTACTGAATCATATATGACAGTGTGGGACAACGCTTTGGGTGAGGTAGGCGGGGAGGGCGGGGTTGGATGGTTACTTCAGAATACGTTGTACCCCCACAACTGATATATACCAATACTGACCAGCAAAATAAACGCAATTCAAGAAATCAAAACTCACACTGAATCTCGATTCGTCTGAAAAGATGACACCATCCCAACTTCGTTGTCCAGAACAGAACAGAACAGAACAGAACATTTATTAAGCTCAGGATGGGGTACTCGACATAACAGGTACAAATAAATATACAGTTGTGAATAGATAGGATGGCGGGATGGTTTACAAGGAAGATTGTACATTTTTCATGACAGTAATACAAAATATACAGTTTTTTTAAAACATTAATTCGTTTACAGTTTAACAATTCGTTAAATCTTAAAACATTGGGGTTTTCAACATAATGGTTTGGGGAGTTTTCCCATGATGTTTAAAGAAAGGGCAGAGAAAAATGTAGTGAAATTCATCGCCAACATCACACGTGTAGCAGAGGTTACAAGTTCTTTCTTCGAGTGTAATTTACTTCTATATGTAACCGATGGGAGGAAGTTCTAAACAAGAGAAATTTAAGAGCCCAGGAGGAAGGGATATATGTGAGATATTTATCAAAGACAAGTTCAGCTTTGAATACGCGATACATGGTACCCTTAGAAGAATTCGAAATCTCTGCGCGCCATGTTTGGGTTGCTATATCATCTAAGCCTTAGGAGATAATAGTTTTAATTTCAATAAGAAAGACAGCTGGTTGACTTACCCAGCAGATGCTATAGTCTGTTTAATTAAATACGGCTTCCACGAATTTTATCCACTTTTGGTTGCTATTGTTTATGCAGGCTTCATTATATAACATTTGGTATACAATTGTTGACAGCTTTTGTTATTTACCAGATAGGAGTCTAGCCCAGAAATATTCCATGCGACATTTGAGTTAATTAATGGTACCCTTCCAAGTGTTCCATATAGCATTATAATGACGGACTTCTCTTAACGGGAATGAATTTGCGTAAAAAGTTTCCATGAATTGATTCTATAGATATACAGTTTTTAAAACCCCATATTTCGCAGCCGTATAACAGAATTGGCTTAACCATGGTGACCTCGATTTGTCACCCAACGGCGCCGTTCCAGTCGATGTCTGTTGGTGAGGATGGGTCCACGGTAAGGTCGACAGCAATGTAAGCCTGCCGCTAGGAGTCTTGAACGCACAGTTCTTTCGCTGATAGGGCGCCCCCTAGACCCAATCACGGCATTAGCAGTGTTTACTGCCGCCTGCAGACGGTTCCGGAGGTGCTGAAGTGGGATTATCTGGTCCTGTCTTTGTGACGTCACACGGGGTCGTACCGGAACGGGGGCGATCAGTTGCCACTACCCGTTGCTGCAGACGAGTTATTGTCGAAGGGTGCACCTGAAAATGTCGGTCTACACGAACTTGTCGAACAGCATTCAGCATGCCTATTGCTTGGTGTCTCTCCATTTCACTTACACGTGGCATGTTGCGGTGAAATGACTGCATTTATAGCCCTACGTCCACTTTCTGCACGTGTGTCATGCATTTCATCTTTGCTTGTTTCTCCCTAATGATTTGGAACACCATCCTGCATGGTGAATGCTTTATCATCACCACATCATACTTGTGTTAAAGTATCAAATCCAAACTCAGGCTGAAAAAGTACAATTTTCATGAATTCTGAGTTGCGTTATTATTGCTGGTGAGTATATATATACCTATACAAACGTTAAGCAATACTAATATGTTTTTAGATGTAATGTCTTTACTATAACTGTAAAACATAAATAATGCTTCGGTATGTAGCATCTGATGTCCATTTCCACCCAGTTCCTCAGTAAAACATTATCTGGCAAGCATTTCACTATATATTGACATGTTATACATTTTCAAATGATCATTGTGTCCTATTTATACTTCCCTATATCACATTTTTCACGTCCGTGTGGTGGATTTTGTTTAAATGTAAAGATGTCCTTGATGGTGTCTATTATTATTCATTCAGGAAGTAAATGTGGGGAAATTGAATATGAGACCAACCTTTAAGGAAGTGTTTATAGTGAGTGAATATGAGCAATATCACGACGGGGGACACCCGAAATGGGCTTCAGACATTGTACCCATGTGGGGAATCGACCCCGGGTGTTCGGTGTGAAGAGTGTATACCCTTAAGAGACACTGTTATTGAGATCATATGCAAAACCTTTCACACCCATAAATAGAGTGAAAATTGAATAAATATCTATATCATAAGCCACTACTAACCGTTGCTGCAGACGAGTTATTGTCGAAGGGTGCACCTGAAAATATCGGTGTACACGAACTTGTCGAACTCCAGCATTCAGCATGCCTATTGCTTGGTGTCTCTCCATTTCACTTATACGTGGCATGTTGTTTTGAAATGCGTGTGTCATGCATTTCATCCTTGCTTGTTTCTCCCTAAAAATAGATTCGAACACCATCCTGCATGGTGAATGCTTTATGATCCCCACATCGTACTTGTTTTAAAGTATCAAATTCAAACTCATGCTTAAAAAGTATAATTTTCATGAATTCTGAGTTGCGTGTTTATTGCTGGTCAGTATATACTCACCTATACAAACGTTAAGCAATACTAATATGGTTTTAGATGTGATGTCTTTATTATAACTATTCTACTTTAAGGAAGTAAATGCGGGGAAATTGAATCTGAGACCAGCCTTTAAGGAAGAGTTTATAGTGAGTGAATGTGAGCAATATCACGAGGGGTGACACCCGAAATGGGCTTCAGACATTGTACCCATGTTGGGAATCGAAGTCAGGTGTTCGGCGTGAAGACTTTATACCCTTAAGAGACACTATTATTGAGATCATATGCAAAACCTTTCACACCCATAAATAGAGTGAAAACTAAAAATCTATGTCATAAGCTTACATGAGAAGTTAGATGTAAATTACTGAGAACTGTGGTGCTATCTACTTGACGTCTCCTTTCCTGTGTATGTTTCAGTCCAACATTTCTTTCTCTTATATAACCATCAAGATACATTTGAACAGCCTGAGAACAGGCATTTGTTCTAAATTAGTTAGGGTTCCGCCTAACCCTAACTGTAATGGAAAAAGTCTTAAATAAAGCATGCCCTGGGTTTCCAGACGTTCGGGTATCATCTATCTATAAAAGAAAGTCATTTGCTCTAAAAGCTGTCACATATCGTTCTACCAATTTCTAATAATTTATTTCTACTCCAAAGGTATGCAATTATACGACCAATTCGTTAAGCAAATATTTTTCATCTAACATTTTGCATTTACGTATCTACACAATTATAACTTTCAGATAGAGGATACCCTCATAACCGGTGAGTATCTGCTATCCAGATGGTAAGGCAAATGGGTAAACAGTTGGTAGTATCTGCTATCCATCAAGGCTATTTGGTAAACAGTTGGCAGTATCTGCTATCCTTCAAGGCTATTGGGTAAACAGTTGGCAGTATCTGCAATCCTTCAATGCTGTTGGGTAAGCGTACGGTTGGCAGTATTTGCTACCCTTCAAGGCTATTGGGTAAACATCCTTCAAGGCTATTGGGTAATCTGCAGTATCCGTCAAGGCTATTGGGTAAACAGTTGGCACTATGTGCTATCCTTCAAGGCTATTTGGTAAACAGTTGGCAGTATCTGCTATCCTTCAAGGCTGTTGGGGAAACAGTTGGCAGTATCTGCTATCCTTCAAGGCTATTGGGTAAACAGTTGGCAGTATCTGCTATCCTTCAAGGCTAGTATGTGCTATCCTTCAAGGCTATTTGGTAAACAGTTGGCAGTATCTGCTATCCTTCAAGGCTATTTGGTAAACAGTTGGCAGTATCTGCTATCCTTCAAGGCTATTGTGTAAACAGTTGGCAGTATCTGCTATCCAGATGGTAAGGCTATTGGGTAAACAGTTGGCAGTATCTGCTATCCTTCAAGGCTGTTGGGTAAACAGTACTAGTTGGCAGTATTTGCAATCCTTCAAGGCTATTGGGTAAACAGTTCATCACCAACACAATTTGACTGGCTATATCACTAATCAATAGCTGTGTGATATCGAGCACAATCTAAATCAATGGCGCACAGTCAATGAGCTGCTGGGTAGTTATTATTCTTCTAGGCAAATGTTTCAAGGGCGTGAACTACCTGTATTTTCGTGAACACCTGGTGTCTTCACTGATTTTCTCAGTGGTTCATTCATATCATTTTGACAACTATTTTGTGATTTGCAACACTTTTATTTGTTTCCATAAATATTCCTTGACCCCAACCACTTTCTACATTTCTTTTCCCCCAGCGTTGTCACATACATCCTTGACGCAGAAACAGACGGGGGCTACCAGGAGATAGAAGGTTGGTGTTGGACCCTTAAACGTCAAATGAATTAGTTCAGTTAACAGGTCATAGCGAATTATTAAATGGGCAATGTTATGTACCATGTCTAAAAACAGTCTTGGAATTTTAGCTGTTAACATAGAAAAACTAAAGGCCTATCATAACTATTAGCTCCGAGTGAACTTGGGCGTTGGGGTAGCCCAGTGGTTAAAGCGTTAAAGCCGAAGGCCCAGGTTCGATTCCTGACATGGGATCAATGTGTCAGGCCCATTTCTTGTGCCCCCTGCCGTGATATTGCTGTAACATTGCTAAAACCCAACTCACTCACCCACTGACTGACCTACTGAAACTTGTATCGGATGCTGTCCATATATCGCGTCTACGGTGCTAGATCAGTGCACTATATTCAAACATGTACGGATATGTGATCAGTGCACAATAATACAGGCATGTGTGATTAACCTTGCAGTTTGTATGCATAATTACTGCTGAACATTGTCACTTTCAGAGAGAGGATACGTTGATCAGCGGTGAGTATCTTCATCAATCTTCAAGTAGGATGAATAAATATTTCATCTCACACAGTGATACATAGCTGAAGATCTGATATAGAATTGATCCTCAGCAACCCATGGTTGTCGTAAAAGTCGACAAACGGGATACGGTAGTCAGGCTCGCTGACTTGGTTGACTCATATCATGGTATCCCAATTGCGTAGATCGATGCTTATGCTGTTGAGTACTGGATTGTCAGGTCCAGACTCGATTATTTACAGACCGCCGCCATATAGCTGGAATATTGCTGAGTGCGGCGTTAAACAACAAACAAACCGACATAGTTATCAGAGCAAAACTATGCACGATTCGGAGCGGTGTAAATTGAGAGTGTGTCACAGCTGTATAATTTCCTCTCATTTTACTCAAGTTTAATACTCATTTTTATCACCTTGGTTTCGTATCACAGGGAAGACGAAAACGACGGGAGCTACCAGGAAATAGAAGGTTTGTGTCTAAAGGTTAACTACAAGCATGATGTGTAACGGCTGTGAAACTCGAACTGTGAGTGTATGGTACTAATATGTCGATTGAATGTAGCTCGAACTACCTCCCGTCTGAAGCCTGGAATAGGAGTCCTGTCTGAAACCCATATACATTGGATATAAGTCAAATCGTCATGGTTACTGTGTGATATTTGAAGGAACGGGAGAAATACCGAATATATGATTTAAAATACCCATCATGGAATAGTTAATATACTGGAAATAAACATTTCCTGAGTCAAATTCGTATATATGCTAAACGCCATAATACTTATGATACTTCTTAATTTCCAAGAGAGATAACAAGGATTCGGTGATATGTCAAGTTGGAGAAACAGACCCACTGGCCTGGACAGCTGTAACGGTCACACTTCCCGTCATACATCAAGAATGATTCTTCCATCTTCATTGCTTGCTTCCTTTGTTGCGTTATGCGATGTAGACAGGGTTCCAGTAGCGTATAAAGAATCGTAGTTTCTTTGAAAAAGTAGACACAAATAGTATTTCCTCCTAATGTCCTCAAACCCAGTATCTATGTACTGAAAGAAATAAGGAATATTAACGACGAATCTTTAATGTTTCAAATACGATGTAGACAGGACTCTTTTAGCTTATAAAAAGGATCGATGTTTCATTCAAAAAAACACACAAAAAACCCCAGAACTTCCTCTATTTCCTCCTTATGTTTTAAAACCAATATATGCACTAAAACGAACAAGGCATATTAACAGAACATTTCTTATCATTCAAATACGTCTCTGCGTTCTCATATAAATTACCATACTAATTACATATGTGTTAACTGTGTGTTATATCAGAAGGTGATGACAACGTCGACGACATCGTCCCCATCGTAGCTGTCTACTCCATTATGCTCACTGCTGTGGCAGTTGTGGTGGCAGCAGTTACTATACTTGTCTGCAAGGACGTAAAAGGTACGATGAATACATGAATCTTTTTTAATGCAATGTAACTTTCAATCCCTCCTCCACTCCCCAACACACCACAACCAACACGAACTTACACCAAAGTGAAGAACCAGGTCAGAGCTGGTCTTCTACAACCTATTTGCAAGCTCGTCATATCAGGTGAGAAACGCTGGCTGATTATGGCCATGCATGTATACCCCCGTATCCCAATTGCGTAAATCGATGCTCATGATATCAATCACTGGGTTTTCTTGTCAAGTCTTGATTATTTCAAACAATCGTAATATAGCTGGAATATTGCTGAATGCATCGTTAAACAGAATACAGGCATGTCTATAGTTCACCTTCATATGCTGAAATCTTTTTTTTCCATTGTATTTTGTAAACGCTGTTTTGATTCAGTAATTTGGGCACTCGGGAGCCAAGTGGTTAAGGCGTTCGGGCCAAAGACCTAGGTTCGATTCCCCACATGGGTACAATGTGTGAAGCCCTATTTATAGTGTTCTGGTTTTGGTGATGCTGATGGACAGCTACTCAGTCACTAACTGTTATTCAGTAAATGGAAACGTGGCCAAATCTTTCCGTTTAGAAATTTATAAGTTTGTCTTTTGCTTTATTTGCAGACAACCAGGACAGAAGGTACATAAGTTTATTGTTTCAACTTAAGTGCTGGAGTTATAATAACCGGTTAACAAACCCTCATATATGTGTCCAGTTGCAATCTCCTGTGTTAAACACCATTTATTCAACTTACCCCAGAAAACTAGATCCTAACTGAATAAACGAAGCCCGTATAGATTATCTGTGGAAATGACGGAGAAAGTAGAAGTTGGATCTATGTAACACATGTACGATTTGTTAAGAAAGGATAGCAATCTATGATCACTGTTGAGGTCTTTTTTAGGATTTCCAATCCATTTATGATTTCTGTTCCACGCTGCATGAAAGCAAAATACATACACTTCTGTGCAAGACAACTTTATGTGCAATGTAAGTGTACTGTTGTAATTACAGATGTGGTGAATATCTTACTGTGATGGCAGACAGATTGTCCCGTGACTTCAGTGATGTACCTTGTGCTTCCAACAACGACGGGGATGTTTTACCCCTGCATGATTACGAGCGACTACTGAGGGAACAGTTCCACATCTACACGTCTCTCCACCCTTCAACTTCCTAACTGAGGACCACAGTACCAGGTGAAGCCTATACTAACGGTACAGTTCCTCATCTACGTCTCTCCACTCTTCATCGTCACCCACAGAGGACCACAGTACCAGGTGAAGCCTATACTGACGATACAGTTCCTCAACTACACGTCTCTCAACCCTTCATCGTCCCCCAGAGAAGTCTAATCTGACGGTACAGTTCCTCATCTACACGACTCTCCACCCTTGATCGTCCCCCACAGAGGACCACAGTACCAGGTGAAGCCTATACTGACGATACTGTTCCACATCTAGACGACTCTCCACCCTGCATCGTCACCCACAGAGGGTGCATAGATCCTTCCGTAAACATTACCAGGAACATATCATCGTGTGTTCAAACCCCAAAATGGTTGCATTTTCATTCAGTTGTTCGCCCCACAAGCGTTTGAGTGAGTGAGTTTAAAGTTTACATAAGATCGACAATAGTGCAGCCATTTCGCTATGAGAATAATTTAAGTATAAATTCTATTCAAGTCCCACTATTCATCAGTCTAATATGGTCATGTCAATTGTCAATCCATATATTGTAAAAAAACTATCTATTTATATACACAGTTCAATGAATCTTAGAGATTCAGGGGGCGGTGGGGTAGCCTAGTGGTTAAAGCGTTGGCTCGTCACGCAGTACCAGGTGAAGCCTATGTTGACGATACTGTTCCTCATCTACACGTCTCTCCACCCTTCATCGTCCCCCACAGAAGTCTAATCTGACGGTACAGTTCCTCATCTACACGTCTCTCCACCCTTCATCGTCCCCCACAGAGGACCACAGTACCAGGTGAAGCCTAATCTGACGGTACAGTTCCTCATCTACACGTCTCTCCACCCTTCATTCTCCTCTACAGAGGACTACGACACCAGTAGGGCATGAACTGATGGTACAGTTCCTCATCTATACGTCTCTCCACCCTTCATCGTCCCCAACAGAAGTCTAATCTGACGGTTCAGTTCCTCATCTACACGTCTCTCCACCCTTCATTCTCCTCTACAGAGGACCACGACATCAGTAGCTATGAACTGATGGTACAGTTCCTCATCTATATGTCTCTCCACCCTTCATCGTCCCCCACAGACGGCCACGGGACCACAGTACGGGGTGCAGCCTCAAGTGAGGCAACAGTTTATACAGGCGATATTGTCTATGTACCTTTCTACAGACGATATTGTGTTCATAGTTTTATGCAGACGATGTTTTCTTTTTCACTGTAGGCTGACGATGTTTTCTTTATAGCTTTATGCTACCGATATTTTCTTTGTTACTTTATGCAGACGGTATTTTCTTTGTCGTGTTATGCAGACGATATTTTCTTTGTCACTTTATGCTGACGATATTTTCTTTGTCACTTTATGCAAGTTCTTATGTTAGTGTACAGTTAGTTATGTAGGTGAGTCTAGGTATAGATGAACGGATATTTTGGTATCGATGAAAAAGAGTGCCTTTACTTTGTATTATATGTTATCTGATGTTGTGTTGCGACATCTTAATAAACTTATTATTATGATTATTTTTTTGTCTTCTTCTTGCATAGATCCTTCCGTAAACATTACCAGGAGCATATGATCGTGTGTTCAACCCCCAAAATGGTTGCATTTTCATTCAGTTGTTCGCCCCACAAGCGTTTGAGTGAGTGAGTTAAAAGTTTAACTAAGATCGACAATAGTGCAGCCATTTCGTTATGAGAATAATTTAAGTATAAATTCTATTCCAATCCCACTATTCATCAGTCTAATATGGTCATGTCAATTGTCAATCCATATGTTGTAAAAATAACAACTATCTTTTTATATACAAAGTTCAATGAATCTTAGAGATTCAGGGGGCAGTGGGGTAGCCTAGTGGTTAAAGCGTTGGCTCGTCACACAGTAAACCCGGGTTCGATTCCCCACATGGGCAGAATGTGTGAAGCCCATTTCTGGTGTACCCCGCCGTGATATTGTCTTATTCATTAAATATGCACATGTATGTATCGCTCTGTAATTCTGAAATGTAGGCCTATGGCCTCCACTACAAAAGAAATAAAGATTGAAGATATTATCATTGCATATTTGTCGACAAAATACAGTAAGACAGTGAGGTACGTATCACTGTTTAGTTTTACCACAACGGCTACCGCATGATTGTTCTGCCCAACATTGTTACTTATGCCACTATCGTGCACGTGCATTTTGACCAATGTCCAACAATTACCTTTTTCACGTTTTGAAGAATGCACGATTCGGGCGAAGTTTTCGGACACCTTCGCTTACATTGGGAGCATGTTATATTTGGGCGAATGTTTTCTGCTTTGGTGTTTATGCAAATGCATTAAAAGTGGTAACTTTCTTTTGCCCGATAGTTTAGTCCTTGAACGGCATTTAGAGGACTGCAAGACACGCTGACCATGCGACCTGTGACAAAGGTACTGGAATTGCTGATGTAGGGTGTTCCTTCTTTTTCCAATGGTGCTAGTAGTTTTGGAAGATGCTGGGCTGTGTTGTAGCAGACTGAGCCCCTGGAGCATACACGTGTTCTGACTTTGACTGGATCTTTATGTGTGCCCCAGTGTGTACGTCAGTGTGCTATAATCATTGGCTTCGCCTTACTATTCTGACCTTTCTCCAGTTTCGGGTAAATCTTGTATGGAAAGATTAAAGATAATAAAATTTATTACCCACTTGGTCAACGTATGGGTAGTTGGATACTAATCTCGTACGTCACACGAGTGTCGTATCGCGTTGACCTGTGTCGTAACGACTTGACCTGAGATTCGAACGATTTGATTGGATAACCGATGACGTCAGGTTGTGAGGGAACTACTTGTTCATTCATAACAAACACGTGAATTCATTCACTCTACAACTTATATGCATTGTGGGAATGTAAACATTGCGAAAGTTGCCGTATCGATGTTTAATTGACAGTCGAACTGAGACATTATATCCGCCGAGCTTTCGCTCGGTCAGATACCATAGGAAGGACACTAGATTCGTATAATTCGTACGTAATAAGACCTCGTGTAGTATTCTCTATGGTTGTTACTAGCTCGATACAAAATACATCTGGGCTACTCGATTTGCTGACATTTTCCAAGTTACAGGCGAAACTGTATCTCAGCTGTTGAAAGTATTTATAACCAGATTAATATCCATTTTGATATGGCCACCTTTTGGGATAGTCAAACGTCATGTTCTTAATATATTCCTTGTGATACTCCTGTTCGTAAATATAAAACATTGAAATCATAATGGATTGGAAAGATGTCTGTAAAAAGACGAGAGTAGATAATGAGCATCGTCTAAGAGATAAAACTTCAGGATGTCAGTTAATTTAAAAACTTGAGATCTGTTGAAGGAACTAAAGAATATCTTGCATTCCAAAACTAAACAATTATTTAATCTAACGACTGGCTTAATATACTGAACATGCGGTAATCAGTCTACTAATCTGAGAGAGAAAATAACTAGAAACTTGAATGAAAACAATGCCTGAAAATATGGTGACCATGACAACGCCACTAATATGAATATTGTCACCAAATTATTAGTTATTGTTTGTTGTGATTGTGTAAACCGACACTGACGACCACGTGAGTGCCTAGTGTAGCCACCCCTCACACGAATAACATCTGCCCATGCCCTCCTAAAAGTTGTTCAATGGGGTTCATACCTGGCTGCTTAGCAGATCCCCCATGTGCGAAAAACTCCAACACTATCCTTCCATGACGACTGAATTGAAATGAAATAAACGTCACCTAGCACATGTTCAGAACGATAATAATGACGCCACACTGTGAAATAATTTTCCTTGCGAAAGAATGATTTACAGTTGCAACGTCATGGTTTTTGAGAAGTTCTTTGATCTCAGCTTGTTTACATCATGATTATTGCCTCGAAAATGCACAAATATGACTAAAATGTTTTTGGTGTGGAGGGTTACACATAGAATGTGTAGTGAGTAGTAAGTCCAGTGACGTCACTCATTCATAACGTTGGGTTATGTATCAATGCGCCGATACAATGAGAAAGGACGAAATATGCATCGATTTGATCCCAAAGTGGTAAGATTTTAGGGTGTGTAAGAAACAGATTACTGTACTCGTTGTAAGATAAATGGAATCTGACAAACACTCGTTTTGTTTCTTTTGAGACCCAGGTTAGAATTGAACTTCAGCAACTCATGCTTGTTGTAAGAGGTGACTAATGGGATCGGTTGACACATGTCATCGTATCCAAGATCGATGCTGATGATGTTGATCGCATGGTTGTCTGATCATTTACAGAGGAGTAACGTTTACATCTTGATGTGCAAAAGAGTAAATACGAGTACATATGAGAGTGATTGAGTGAATAAGTGAGTAAATATCTTTTTTACGTCGCTTTTGGCAATATTTCAGCAATATCATGGCGGGGGATACCAGAAATGGTCTTCACACATTGGCTGCATCGAGGGAATCGAACCCGGGTCTTCGGCGTGACGAGCGGACGCTTTAACCACTTGGCTACCACAGAGCAGACAGACCCAGCACGCATGACAACATAGTGTTCAATGTTCGACTGCCCAATGATAACAACACTAGTGTTTCAACAAGCAGGGGAGATGATTTACAGAGTAGACAGACCCAGCAGTGACAAGTAAACTCATGACAACATAGTATTCAATATCCACCTGCTCAATAGCAACGACACGGCGTATTCACTAATGTTTCAACAAGCAAGGACATGGTTCATGCGACAGGGAAATAGTGTCAAGTGAAACTACACGAACATCAACAGCTCAGATCTGTCAGTGTTATCCAGCTGCTGACTATGTTTCTGTTTTACACCGTGACCGGATTATTTCTTGTGTGTGGTATGTATCTGTCTTCGAATTGACATTTTCTATAGCCATCCTTGTGACTTTTTTCTTAAGTAATACGGGCTATTCTGTCAGTATGAACTTATCACGCCAGTTTGTAATATGTTTTATTTTAAAAGAAAATTATACAGTTATATAGCGCCTAGTATCAATCTGTCTAGTTGCTCGCTGGACGCTGAATCACAATCTGATTATTATTACCCTGGATAACCCAAGCTGCCTGTAAGGCGCTGGAAGGTTAATAGTCACATGACATATTTCACCGGGTAACCAGTTTCTGCTGTACACAGTTTCGGAAATTTTGAACAAACACACTTACCTCATGTTAGTATATGATATGTTAGTATGTTCAGCGTAGTGTAGATCATATCTTAGTATATGATATGTTAGTATGTTCAACTTAGTGTAGACTATGTGTTAGTAAAGTGTGTATGATATGTAAGTATAGTGCATACATGTATATGAAGCACTGTGTATGGGATATATACATATTATACAGTGTAAACAATCATAATAAACAATTACATAGATACATTATAATAATGTGACAAAAATAATAAAGAAAAAATATATTAAGAATACAATCGATCGGGTCCATCGATATCACTTCTTGGACTCCGCTAAAAAGAATGTAATTTACATTTTCTGAAAGGTTTACATTAAAAATGCAAAATTGTCTTAGTTTGACAATTCAACCCACAGAAAATACTATAACGCATGTTCATAAAAGGTCTTTCCTCCTTACATGATCGTGTCTCTCTGTTTGGGGGCTTATATGTGTGTGGTATGTATCTGTCAACTAGGATTATATTGAGCTGACTTCAATAATGTGCTTGAATAATTCTGTCAACTGTTAACCTTGTTTTAATGACGAATACTTGTTTTGAGTGCAGGTCTTGCCTCCATGACAACTGGATATAGACACACTGTTACACGTGTTGGCGACGATGTTAACATAACCATGAACCCAGCGAATGTCAGCTCCCTATACTACGTATGGGTGAATGGTTCGGTAGCTGAGAGACTGTTACTGGTCCAGCCTAAGTCACACAGTGTATGGGTACTCAACAGCAGTCACATCGGCTACACGACCATGATCAGATACACCGGGGAGGGCTCACCATCACAGACCGGACAGCTGAGGTTTACCATCTACAATGTTACTGTACAGGACGCTGGTACTTACTACTGTCGACGAACCAATGGACAGACAGTTACTGGATGTAGACAGGTCCTCGTTGTAGCACGTGAGTAGGATATGGGATGAACAGAATATTATTTGAAGAATAATGTTTGACTGTCTTAATGCATCTCCACCATAAATAAATAGCTGTTCAATCTTCTATTGCTGTAGAAGAACTTTAAATGAGGTGAAATTGGGGTTTAGATTATTGTATATATGGATCCAGGTACATGTGAGTGTCCGAGCATGCGTACGTGTTTTTTGTTGTATGCATGTGTGTGTTGTATGCATGTGTGTGTTGTATGCATGTGTGTGTGTTGTATGCATGTGTGTGTGTGTTGTATGATGTGTGTGTACATGAACTATGCTTGTTCACCGTCAAATGTCGCAGTTTAAGATGGATGAGTGTATTCGAGTCGATCAGTCTTGCATCTTTTAACGCCACTTGCTATAACGCACCTGGTCGTGAAACCGTCGACTCTCCTCTCTCCGGAAAATACATTAAACTCGTTTCAGTAGAGGCAGCCAGTAGTTGTGTGGTAACTATAATATTTAATCAACAAAACTGTTAGGAGTATTAGGATCCAGCCAACATGTATTCCCTGCTGTAACTGTGGAACACTGACAGTGGAACACTGAGTGAGTGAGTGAATGAGTGATATTTTTAGCAATATTCCAGCAATATCCTGACCGATAACATCAGAAATGGGCTGGACTCATTGTTCCCATGTGGGGAATCAAACCATGGTCTTCCACTTGACGAGTGAACGCTTTAACTATTTAACACAATATAATAATGACAAACAGTATATAAATACAAGTATGAAAGCATTTAGTAACATCTTGTTCAATGGCACTCGTGTTACGGTCTGAGCACATTTGTTATATTTGTTAACAGAGAAGCCAACCACCTACCATCACCGGACCTGCCTCACCTCTATCAGATGAGAATGTCACCCTGACATGCTCCTCCTCCTCCCGGAGTCTACCTCCGGACCACCCCCCCACTAACCATGACCTACATCTGGAGGAGGGACAGGACCCGGGTAGAATCTGGTGATGTGTCTCCTACAGGTGGATATGACCTGACAATAACCCACATCAGCAGAGAGAACCAGGGAGACATCTACAGCTGCCAGACTGTGGAGGAGGGCCTGAAGTCTGACTGGAGTCACGGATATGTGCTGGATGTTCTCTGTGAGTAAGAACTTACCTTGTTTACGGTATAGGAACCTCGTATATCTTATCTTTGAAACTGTGCTTCTGAGTGATAGTTTTGTCACAACTTTTTTTGCTGAAGTACTGTGTTCTGTGTAAAGAGAACAGAAATGATTATTGTGAAAGTTTGGATGGGAAATATAGGCAGGTCTGATTTAATGATCCATGAGTTTCAGAGGCTATCGAAAATGCTGATAGTTTCCCGGCACTGTAAGCTCACCTGGATATGTTGTCAAGAGTTGTACATGTTATATCTGAGGTTAGGCGTCTGACTTTGTGTGCAGGCTATTAGGTACCTGAAAATGAGGATGTGGGTTCGAATCCCGGATTGGACTCAACCCAAAAGTACTAGAATTTGTACTTTACTAAGAAAGTGTAATCCCAAATATAACATGTTACATCGCCACTTTCTAAATTGTATTGTGTAGTCATAAGAGTTGTACATGTCAACAGAGTGCGTGAGTGAGTTACAATGGTGTTCCAGTTGTAGTCTGTACTTATTATGTGAGGAAAGCATAAATTGATATTGGTCTGAGACGTTTACCATTTTGTGAATCCCAAGAACATAGACCAAGCCAAGCAGCATGTCTTCATTCATCATGTATGTCACACAAGCAAACTGCACTTATATGTAAGAAAAAAATCCGTTCTTAGCTGGCCATCTCACATGCCTTCCAGATGGACCTGACCAGATACAGTTTGACGGCACAAGTGACAAGCTGGAGGTAGAAGAAGGGAAACCTGTAACAGTGAGATGTTCTGCTGACTGTAACTCTGCCTGTACTGTAACCTGGTGGGACATCTCCAGACAGACGGTGATTACAGGACAGGGGGAGGCTGTGTTGTCTATACCAGCTGTAGATGTATCTGTGTCTGGACTGTACACGTGTCACGTCAACAACAACCATGGGAGTGCATCACGGAACCTGACGCTGGAGGTCTTCTGTAAGTCAACACTTCAGTAATAGAATATGTTATATACAACCTATTTTGGGGGATGACGCCTGTTGGGACGGCCCCCTTTTCGTACACCTGATCCTGCTGGAACACCTGCTTGAACACCTGCTAGAACACCCAGAGATTTAAAATAATCAAAGACCCTTTAGATTGCACTCAAAGATTAAAAATAACTAACCATTTGAAACCGTAATATTGATGAAGAATTTAATTTTCACTATGATCTGATGGCATTATCACTCCAATGATTCTTAACTTTCAGATTCTCCAAAAATCCCAAATGTTTCCGTTAATTCGATAAATCAATTAGAAACCTGCCCTACAGAATGCAGTGCTTCTGAATCTCTATTTATATGAGAAATAAAATTTGACACTTTTCGTTACATATTTCCGTTTCTTCACCCTGCACAAATGAGAACACTGATGTTACCGACATTGCATGTCCTCCTGTGGAGCTAATGTTGACAATGACGTTGTTGTTGGGGATGTACAGCGTACCTCATCAATCACTTACAAAGCGTGGCACGGAAAGGTTATTTCAGATGAACATCGCAAGTGTCAACCCATCTAATATGTTTTGAATCAGGTTAAAACCTCCCGAAGAGGCTTGATGTTACATGATTATACTCGTATGCATACTGAACTGAATATTGTTCACGTTAAATGATTCAGCACGTGGAGTTACTGTACCTGGTGTCGTTTCCATCGTCCCCGTGGCTGCTGTCTGTTCCGTCCTGATCGTGGTCATCGCCGTTGTCGTCATCGTTGTTGTTTGTAGAAAACAGAGACGTAGAGGTAATACAGTGTGATGTGAGAGTGAATGACGATAACCCGAGAGTCACGTAAAGTTGTCTCTCTCAGAAGCACTCCTTTCGCACTTTCGTTCAGCAATAACAAATACTGATCTCACTTAATAGCGTGTTTCGGTTCATATATTACTACATGCTCATGTTTACATCATGCAATCGATGTGTGTGTTCAGTGTATCGTCACCTGGAAATAGTTGGCTCCATAGAATAGCAAGGCCAATGCTTTCAAATGAACAGTCACACGATGATAGTACATAAGAAAGATAGGCGCGTTCTTTTATGTGAGTGAGTATGGTTTTACGCCGCTTTTAGCAATATTTCCGCAATATCACGGCGGGGGACACCAGAAAATTGGCTTCACACATTGTACCCAAATGCAGCATCGAACCCGGGTCTTCGGTGTGACGAGCGGACTCTTTAACCACTAGTTTACACCACCGTCCCTTCCTATAAATATACACAGGTGCTGAATTATACATGACAGTGTGGGACAACGCTTTGGGTGAGGTAGGCGGGGAGGGCGGGGTTGGATGGTTACTTCAGAATACGTTGTACCCCAACAACTGATATATATCAATACTGACCAGCAAAAGAAACGAAATTCAAGACATCAAAACTCACAATGAATCTCGATTCGTCTGAAAAGATGACATCATCCCACCTCCGTTGTCCAGAACAGAACAGAACAGAACTTTTACTACGCTCAGGGGTACCCTTCCAAGTTCTCCATATAGCATTATAATGGCGTGCTTCTCTTAACAGGAATGAATTTGCGTAAAAGGTTTACATGAACGGATTCTATAGATTTACAGTTTTCAAAACCCCATATTTCGCAGCCGTATAACAGAATTGGCTTAACCATGGTGACCTCGATTTGTCACCCAACGGCGCCGTTCCAGTCGATGTCTGTTGGTGAGGATAGGTTCACGGTAAGGTCGACGGCAATGTAAGCCTGCCGCCAGGAGTCGTCAACGCACAGTTCTTTCGCTGATAGGGCGCCCCCTAGACCCAATCATGGCATTAGCAGTGCTTACTGCCGCCTGCAGACGGTTCCGGAGGTGCTGAGGTTGGATTATCCGGTCCTGTCTTTGTGACGTCACACGGGGGTGTACCGGAACGGGGGCGATCAGAAACGCTGCCAGTTGCCACTACCCGTTGCTGCAAACGAATTATTGTCGAAGGGTGAACCTTAAAATGTCGGTCTCCAGCATTCAGCATGCCTATTGCTTGGTGTCTCTACATTTCACTTACACGTGGCATGTTGCGGTGAAATGACAGCATTACGACACTGCCTGCATTTGTAGCCCTACGTCCACACTCTGCACGTGTGTCATACATTTCCTCCTTGCTTGTTTCTCCCTAATGATTTGGAACACCATCCTGCATGGTGAATGCTTTATCATCACCACATCATACTTGTGTTAAAGTATCAAATCCAAACTCATGCTGAAAAAGTACAATTTTCATGAATTCTGAGTTGCGTTTCTATTGCTGGTCAGTATATATACACCTATACAAACGTTAAGCAATACTAATATGTTTTGAGAGGTAATGTCTTTACTGTAACTGTAAAACATAAGTAATACTTCGGTATGTAGCATCTGATGTCCATTTCCATCCAGTTACTCAGTAAAACGTTATCTGGCGAGCATATTTATAGTGACATGTTATACATTTTCAAATGATCATTTTGTCCTATTTATACTAATAGATCTTCCACATGTCATAGTTTTCACGTCCATGTGTTGGATTTTGTTTGAATGTACAGATGTCCTGGATGGTGTCTATTAATATTCATTCAGGAAGTACATGTGGGGAAATTGAATCTGAGACCAGCCTTTAAGGAAGAGTTTATAGTGAGTGAATATGAGCAATATCACGACGGGGGACACCCGAAATGAGCTTCAGATATTGTACTCATGTAGGGAATCGAACCCGGGTGTTCGGTGTGAATAGTTAATACCCTTAAGAGACACTATTATTGAGATCATATGCAAAATCTTTCACACCCATAAATAGAGTGAAAATTGAATATCTATGTCATAAACTAACATGAGAAGTTAGATGTAAATTACTTCAAACTGTGGTGGTATCTACTTGACATGTCCTTTTCTGTGTGTGTTTCAGTCCAACATAGACTCGTTTCACTTCTCTTATATAACCGTCAAGATGCATTTGAACAGCCTGAGAAATATGAATTATTTCTTTTATATAACCCTAAAGATGCTGGAACAGCCTGAGAAATATGAATAATTTCTCTTGTATAACCGTCAAGACGCTTGAACGGCATTTGAGATATGAATCAATAGTGTGCACACATTTACATATTTGATGGCCTTTAGCTTTCAGTGAGTGAGTGAGGATGTTTACGCCGCGTTTAGCAATATCCCAGTAATATCCCAGCGGGAGACACTTTTACCACTAGTCTAACCATCCCAACAAGCACTTCCAAGACACCAGTGTTACTTAGCTGACAGTCACATATTGTTCTACAAATTTCAAGTCATCTATGTCTACTTCAAAGGTATGCAAGTATACGAGCAACTCGTTTATCATGTATTTTTTATCGAACATTTTGCATCTACACAATTCTATCTTTCAGGAAGGGGAGACATTCATAGTCGGTGAGTATCTGCTATCCAGTTGGTAAGGCAAATGGGTAAATTTAAACTTAGCAGTATCTGCTCTTTTTCAAGGCTGTTTGGTAAATAGTTGGCAGTATCTGCTATCCTTCAACGGCTATTGGGTAACAGTTGGCAGTATCTGCTCTTTTTCAAGGCTGTTGGATAAACAGTTGGCAGTATCTGCTATCCTTCAAGACTATTGGGTAAACAGTTGGCAGTATCTGCAATCCGTCAAGGCTATTGGGTAAACTGTTGGCAGTATCTGCAATCCTTCAAGGCCGTTGGGTAAACAGTTGGCAGTATCTGCTATCCAGGTGGTAAGGCTAATGCGTCAACAGTTGGCAGTATCTGCTATTCTTCAAGGCTATTGGGTAAACAGTTGGCAGTATCTGCAATCCTTCAAGGCTATTGAGTAAGCAGTTCATCACCAACACAATTTGACTGGCTATATCACTAATCAATAGCTGTGTGATATCGAGCACAATCTAAATCAATGGCGCACAGTCAATGAGCTGCAGGATAGTTATTACTCTTCCAGGCAAATGTTTCAAGGGCGTGAAGTACCTGTATTTTCGTGAACACCTGGTGTCTTCACTGATTTTCTCAGTGGTTCGTTCATATCATTTTGATAGCTATTTTGTGATTTGCAACACTCTGAGGAAAGCGGGCTGTTTTTTATAAATATTCCTTGATTCCAGCCACTTTCTACATTTCTTTCCCCCCAGCGTTGTCACATACATCCTTGACGCAGAAACAGACGGGGCCTACCAGGAGATAGAAGGTTGGTGTTGTACGTCATCGTAGACCCTTAAACGTCACATGAATTAGTTCAGATAAACAGGTCATAGCGAATTATCAAATGGGCAATGTTATGTACCATGTCTAAAAACTGTCTTTGAATTTTAGTTTTCAACATAGAAAAACTAAAGGCCTATCATAACTATTAGCTCCGAGTGACCTTGGGCGTTGGGGTAGCCCAGTGGTTAAAGCGTTAAAGCCGAAGGCCCGGGTTCGACTCCTGGCATGGGATCAATGTGTCAGGCCCATTTCTTGTTTCCCCTGCCGTGATATTGCTGTAACATTACTAAAAGTCGCTCACTGACTGACCTATTGAAACTTGTATCGGATGCTGTCCATATATCGCGTCTACGGTGCTAGATTAGTGCACTATATTCAAACATGTACGGATATGTGATCGGTGCACAATAATACAGGCATCTGTGATTAACCTTGCAGTTTGTATGCATAATTAACTGCTGAACATTGTCACTTTCAGAGAGAGGATACGTTCATCAGCGGTGAGTATCTTCATCAATCTTCAAGTAGCACGAATAAATATTTCATCTCACACAGTGATACATAGCTGAAGATCTGATATAGAATTGATCCTCAGCAACCCATGTTTGTCGTAAAAGTTGACCAACGGGATCGGGTGGTCAGGCTCGCTGACTTGGTTGACTCATATCATCGTATCCCAATTGCGTAGATCGATGCTTATGCTGTTGAGCACTGGATTGTCTGGTCTAGACTCGATTATTTACAGACCGCCGCCATA